GGCTTACTATTTAGCTATCTCATCATGACCGATGTAACATCGCAACCAAGAAAACTTGTCAAATTAACCAGATCATTACTGTACCATGAATGCTTCTATCTCCGACACTTCACACCAAAAAAAATAACTCTTGCACGCCTTGCGTGCCTATGTTTAGACATGGCACCCAGTTCTTCTGAGGATGTCACTCGCGCGATGCGTGGACAGCCGAAGTGACTTTCTCGAAACTACCTGAGACAAAATGGCAGGAACGTCATTTCATATGTTTTGGTTTCGTTTCATACCAGAGATGTTTTCTGCACTCTCAGCCGCCTTTTTGTTCGGCCGGGCTTTCGTTTGTTTTGTGGTCGTCTGGCTGTTCACTATTTCGCCGTTTATTCGGTTTTAGGGAGTTTAATTAAACAGACTTCAACGGTAACGGCAACGAGTACAATGGCTGTGTAAGCGTGCGTTATAATTTTTTGTTCATTTCTTTCCCTTTGTTTACAAAAGGTCAAAAAACATCAGTGTAGACAAACTAAATGAATGTAAATTCTCGCGAGATTCGTAGGTTGAATATTAATTCATTTTTTAATCGTCGTTGCCTTTGGCGTTGTTGCCGTTGCAACTTAAACTTCTTTTTGCTACTTGGGCAGCCAGCGTTTGCCTGCACTTTCGACCATCTGTTTGTTCGGTTGACTAGCTTGTGTTTGGGCGTTTATTTGCTTAGCACTCGTTTGTCTAAACATTTTACTGGCCCTCATTCAGTTGTTATTGTTTGAGCAGGGGACTATTAAAGTTTCGAAACTATATTAAAACATACCGAGAGCCGAAGCTCGTTTGCTTGTAATAAAAATATCAAAGAAGATATCTCCACAGCGTTGGAGGGGCCGTCGATAAAATCAGGAACATGGAGCATTCCGGAACATCCCGGAACATCGAATAATTATCATAATTACGCGAAAAATATGTAAAATAAAATTTTAAAAAATCAAATCAAACAAAAATAAACTGGAATCAGTTCGGAAAATAGAAACAAAACAAAAACATAAAAAAGGAAAAAAAGAAAGAAAAATGAAAGTGACTGCAATGAGTGAAGGCTAGCAACTAAGAAGAGTAATCAATTCCTTCCAGTCGTCACCGTCAGTTTAATCACGTGACTGTCCTTTATTCCCAGATTTCGTTCTTCACAGAAAATTAAGGTGGTGGCGTT